ACAGGATTAGATGCCTGATTTGAGGTTGACGCTTTATTTAATGCATCACCAGAAGCCTCTGCAGTCTTACTCCGATCATCGACTTGAGATTTACGCCTTTTCGCAGTACTCTCCATATTCGCAGACGGTTTTGCTGTGACCTGATTTTGTTGAGTATCTGATGACACCCTCTTACTTCCGGATAGCTTTGTTGAGGCTGTTTCTAGTAATAATTGGGCTGGGCTCTCAACTAAGTTTGCTTGCCGGCCTCTGACATCTCCATATCGACTTTTCTTTAGCTCATCGAGTTCAGTATCGCTTAGCCTGACACCTAGCTCTTTAGGGTTAAAGTGAATCATAGCCACTGTTCCGTCCAAGGAACATGCAAATAGCGAATATCCGTCAGGACTCCTGTAATTTCCAGAGGAAAAACACATATCAAATCTTATCTTCATTTATGCTTTAGATAAGCAATTATGACCTTAGAAAAGTGCTCGAGGATATCATATTTAAGCTATATATGGCAAAACCAATACACATTTGGGACACCAAAAAAAACACACTATGAAGACATAACTGCAAATCAAGGGATCATACCAGGATAGATCCACAACACTTTGGCCAAAGAAATGCTTGGCGACGAAAAGAGGGCGCGGACTTGCAGTTGTCCATACGGTTATAGTGCGGTCTTGACTCCCTATTGCAATAACATTGTATGGCTGCAAATCCTTCCCCCCTGATTTGGAAGTCCCATTGCTCCACCCAGCTCGTTTCGTTTCTGGGGCACTAGAAGTGGTTCTTTTAAACATTGAATGATTGAACTTCACAACAATGATTGGAGCATTATGACCTAAGAAGTCAAATGCTGCAGACCATTCCCCTCTTTCTAGAACAGGAGCAGAATGCCTCGGCTTCTGAAACCCGTGAGTGGTAGTAACGAAGTGGCCACAAGGAGACCACCCAAGTCGCCTGAAAAAAGTGGATCCGAGCTAGAAATAAATAAAAAACACAGATCCCATTAGCATTGTGGTAACGTTCATATAATAAAAAAAAGGAGAATTCCTAACCAAATCCTTTGTATGATCAACTTTTTATGTAACTACATCCTAATAGAATTGCATAAACAAAAAGTTGCATACCGATTTTTCCCAGTGACCAACTGTTCTGTGAGCCATGCTCCAATCGCTTGTTCGCCAAATTATCACAGTTTTGTCATCCGATTGGCTAGCAATAAATGTCCCGATTGGATCCCACGTTACACCTTTCACCAAGCTCAAGTGAGCCCTGAGAACAGTGGTGCAAAGACCAGTGCGCATATTCCATATATGGACTGTGTTGTCCAAACTCCCACTAGCCAGCATTGAATCATCTGGAGACCAATTCATATCCACCTACTTTAAGCATAGTTATAAAAAAATACCTCAATTACTACATCGACCATTGAAATGATAACTATAGGAAAGCAAAACAAAATAGCATTGTTTACCACATCGGCAGTGTGTCCCCTTAGTGTCATCACAGCTTTCCAGTTCTCAACATTCGGGGGTTCGCCGCTACCAAACTCAGTGGTGCCTGAACCAGGCTTCCTCTCGTGAATTTGAATCACTTGGTCGTCAGAACCAGATGCCACGTATCTACCGTGCTTGGCCCACCTAACACAGTTGACTGACCCAAAGTGGTCACGAAGGGTTGCTAGAAGCCTTTCTTTTGGATCTAAGTTTTGCAAATCCTTGTCAACAGACTTCATGTTCCATATCCGGACCTGTATTCATGTTAAGAGATTGCTATTAGCTAAAAGAAAGATTCAGCTGCGTATTTTTCACTAGTTGATTACAAAATCCAAACAATGACATAAACAAGCCTATGTCAGTGACATGGTCCAAATGCTACAAAGCCTACAATCTTCATCGAACCAAGAGGAGGTCAAGTGCTTGCGTAGCAAAACCAGAGTTTGTACAAGATTCAGTTAAACTACATCTATAGTGTTTGATAGATATTCTCAAAACTCAAAAGAAAGCAGCACCAAATCTAAACAAGAAACAAAGATGCAAGAACTAGACATATACATATACTAAGAGATGCAGAATCAACACCAGTCTTACAAAATCTAGCTCTTCTAATAGAATCACAGAGTGTCAACTACTCATAAACCATCAAGAAATCAGCAAAGATGCCCTTCAAAGCATCAAAAGATACAATCTATAGATTCTTAGCAGCTAAAAGACTGTAAACCACACAAAAACGAGAAGCAAAATTCTGAATTCTGAATTCACCAAGCAACATAAGCAAAGAGAAAGAAGAAAAATTAGACACCTTGTGATCACCACCGCCTGTAGCAAACCTTTCTCCGTTAGGTTGAACATCAATGGAGAATATCTGCAACCCTTCGTGCTTAACCCAAACGGGTTTCTCCGCAATCATCTTTCGATTCCCAACTAGAAAAAAACCCCAAGTAGAGAATCAGTATCAAACCCAAAGAACAGAATTTGTTCCTCTTGAGATCACACCATGAGCAAAGCTCGGAAATTTAACTGAGACTAAGCATAAACATCGCCAGAAGAACAAGTGAAGAGAAGATAGACGAAATCGAAAACCCAGAAAACTACTGGAGGATGAACATAAGTTTAATGAATTGAAGAGAATGAAGTCAATTTCCAGGTTAATTTTTTTCCCAATCGGTAAAAGTTTGTTCCTTTAAAAAACCCTAATTTCTCGTGGTTTACACAGAGAAAAAAGTAGAAAACCACTGACTTTTGGGGTTAAAGAGGAATGAGATTAAGAAATAAGAACAGGGGAGATGGAAAAGTTTTGGTTTTTGTGTGTGTGTGTTGTGTAATTGGTGTGACTAAAAAACCCTACCTTTTGAGAGAAAAGGGCTCTTCGACTTCTTTGTAAAAGACTCTCGATGAAGTAAGTATCTATCGATCAATAAAAATTCACCATTGTGTTGTTATGTATGTATTGAAGAAAGAAAAGGGTCAATGTGTCACGGTTTTTTTTTTTGGTAATGGAATCCCCAATATTAGATGTTTGCAATTACAAGTGTCTTGAGCTAACATGGGTTTCGATTCGAATAACTTAAACCTTGAAAGCAAAGCCGTGTCACATTTAACTTGTTTGAGATGTGTTGCGTTGCGTTGCGTTGCGTCCTTTGGGTCATGTAACATTGAGATTTGGGATAAAAGGTGTTCATTCCGGATCATTTGAACCAGACTTATCAGAACCGAACCGAACCGAATTCATCAGAACCGATAACTAGATTGAATTTTAATAGAGTCAATGAGGAGAAAAGGAAGTATAGTGGGCGTATTTAGGTAATAGGGAAGTATTGGCATACGTGTATATACTTAATGTGTGTTTAAAGACTAAAAACTCCTAACAAAAATGACACATGGTAACATGTGGGCCCTCTCTCTATTTCTCTCTCACTTTCTCTCTCTCAACATTTCGAATTTATTTATATTACATATTTTTGGAACCTGCTAATAACTATTGTATCATGTGTTTACATATAAATTTAGGTTTAATTTTAAATTTTACGGGATATTAAATATATTAAATGAATAACAATATTAACGAGATACACATTTTTTAAACATGCTAACAATTACTGAATCACATATATACATCAATATTTATATTTAATTTTATATTTTACAGGATATTAAACATGTTAGATGGATAACAAAACAATAAAACAAACAAACTTTTCTTCATGTTACAAATTTGTTTAGTGTGCTATAAATAAAGATAACTAATTATTAAAATATATAGTATGTTCAAATAATATTGTCCAATGTTACAAAAAATGATATATTGTGTTACAATTTTGTTTAGCGCGATATAAACAAAAATAACATAATTGGTTATTAAAAGAAATAGTACATTCAAATAATATTGTACTATGTTAAAAAAATGATATCCCAAAACGAAATTAGTCTTTCACCTGAAGTTTTCTTTAAAAATTATGCCAGATTAGATTTTGCGTCCGTGATTGGAGAATCCTCTCTTCAGAGTTTGTAAGTGAAGATGAGTGTCGTTTTTGTCGTGGCCGTCATTGTCACCATCTCGTCGCTGCATCGTTGTTGCTGCGTTGTCCCTGTGTCGTCGTTGCCGCGTTATTGTCACCAGGTCGTCATCGTCGTCGTCGTCACCGCGTTATCATCTCGTCGTCATTTAATCAAAGTCTCGAGAGAATAGAAGAGAGGAATAATCGAGAGAGAAGAGAAGGAGAGAGAGGGAAAGAGAGGCATGCGGAGTAAACAAAGAAAAATAATAAAATGAGGAGAGAGAAAGGATGTTTTGGTATTAAAAAAAAATTGCATGTACCAAAAAGTATGTATTCCTTGTTACCTAAAAACGATCAGTATTTGGGTCATACACGCAAATTTCTCATTTTAATATGAATAGAATGGTAATATTTGTTATACATCTAAAATCGAATTCGGATCCGAACCGGGAAACCCAAACCTGAGATTTAAGAACATGTTTATTAGTAAAATCTTACTATTAATGTTGGCTTTTAAATGTCAGGTTTTTCATAATCTATATGTATATAAAGTAATTAGATATGGACCATCGCACCGGATTTTAAAAACTTTTTCTTTTTTATCATGAAATAAATTCAAATTTTGAAAACAATTTTTTTTTTTAAAGGATAAGGCCTAATGATGTGATAGTGTATAGTGTTCACCAAATCATATGAAGATAACAAACATTGAAATATGTAATTTCTGTAAATGATTTTCTTTTCCTAGCTACCTGAGTACCTGACTTCCTCCTCCGAAGCAGCGGTCCGAATATTCCACAGGTCCTAAAGTATTCTATTAAAAATTCATGATTGAACCAATAAGGAAACCCCAACTTTTTAATATATAGTAATAGAATAATAGTCTTCAACAGTTTTATAATCCGAATAATAAAGCTATACTAATAATTCCAGCAAGATCTACATTTCTTCCTTGTCCTAATGCTTCGCACAATTTTCTTCTTAGCATTTCCTCTTCTTGAGGTCAACAACAATGGCTGATCAACCTCCAAATCCTCAAAGAAGAATCAAACTTCGCGATGGTAGATACTTGGCTTACAAGGAAAGAGGTGTCTCCAAGGATGATGCCAAGTTCACCATCGTTCTTGTTCATGGATTTGGAAGCTCCAAAGACATGAACTTCAATGTCTCACAAGTATGCACAATCTTTCTATTTACTCGATCCTCTATATTTATATTTTGTTTCTTAGTCAACGATCCAAATTTTGTACTTTTAATAATCGTGAGATATAAACTATTAGTTCTTGATTTTAAAACTTAGTGGTTTTTGTGAAATGGACAGAGATTTACGTTTCTGTGTTTCATCAACTTCAGACTCTAGTCTATTACAAGATCCAAGAAGTTGACTTCTGGAGACATAATATGATTATGTAATCGATAATGTGCAATGTCTGAAAAAGCTATACTATATTTCAATTTTCAAAATATTAAACCAAGAAACATAAAAAGAAAGGAGAGATTTGGTTGAAGACTAATGAGGTTTGTTTTAGTTATAATCTCAGGAGCTTGTAGAAGAAATTGGGATATACTTTGTGCTATATGATCGAGCTGGCTACGGAGAAAGCGACCCAAATCCGAAACGGTCGTTGAAGAGTGAAGCCTGCGATGTTCAAGAACTCGCGGATCGGTTACTGATCGTATCAAGATTTTATTTGATCGGAATCTCGATGGGCTCGTATACTGTTTGGAGTTGCCTCAAACACATTCCTCAAAGGTAAAGAAATCGAATTGAATAAGTCAACTATGTTAATTATGGTAATGCTTAAAAGTCTTTCAAGGCACATGTTACAAAAAAAATTTGCTTCAAGATTGGCTAAAAATCATAAAACTGTCAGAGAACACGTTCATATGTATATTGTAGGGTCATTATGTTTACAATATTTGTTGACAACAATCTCACAAGTCACAACCATAATACCTTAGCAAATAAAATCTAAAACTTTATATTTTGTCATACTATGATCGATCCGAATGAAATATGAGTTATCATGAACATGGTACGTAACAGGTTAGCAGGAGTGGCGATGGTGGCTCCGGTGGCGAACTACCGGTGGCCGTCGATTCCAAAGAGTTTGATGAAAAACGATTACAGAAGAGAAGTGATGAAATGGGCTTTTTGGATTGCTAACTATTTTCCGGGACTTCTTCAATGGTATGTGACTCAAAACATGTTTCCTTCAACTTCGATGCTAGAGAAAAACCCTATCTACTTCAACGACCAGGACATCGAAATCCTCAAGCACACCAAAGGCTTCCCAATGCTTACTAAGGTACCAATTACTTTCATAACATTACTATGAAAAAAGGTTGATTAGTCAAATTTACGAATACTCATGGATGTGTCCACAGGAGAGGTTACGAGAACGCGGCGTTTTTGAGACGCTGAGAAGCGATTTCCTGGTAGCGTTCGGCGAGTGGGACTTCGACCCGGCGGACTTACCCGACCCGTTCCCATCCGAACCCGAGAAGAGCCTTTCTTCTGTTCATATATGGCAAGGCTACGAAGACAAGGTGATGCCGTTTCAGCTGCAAAGATGCTTGTGTCGCAAGCTACCGTGGATTAAGTACCATGAGGTCCCTAAAGGAGGCCACTTGATCGTGCACTACGACGGCGTCTGCGACGCGATCTTGAAATCGCTTCTTCTAGGAGAAGATCTTCCAATGTACAGACCCAAAGCTATGATCACTGAACCTTAGAGACAAGAGCCACAGTTCTTAATTTGTTCGTTTCCTGCTTGATTCTTTGATATTGATTGATAAGGTTCGAATTCTTGTTTATGGGGATAAGTGAATAGTTTCGATTGTTTTCGTAATGGTTTAAGTAAAATATTTTTATTTACATATACTTGTATGCCTTCTTCTGGAAGGAAGACCTCATGATATGTGTAAACCTTTTGTAAGAAACTTGAGTTCCATATCTTCTAAACCACAGACGTTGACAAATATATCTCTGCGCATATCGTTGCAGAAGGGTAAATTATGAAACATATAGATAGTTATTGCAATTATCAAGGAGTACGAAAAACATTAAAGAGGATCACACAAGGCATTTCTCCTTGAGACAAAGTACAGTGTCTCTAAGGCTTGTTTCTGTAGGAGTGAAGTCAATTCCCAAACTTTTCACTTTCTCTAAACTCACTTTGTAAGTCCTTGAAATAATATCAATGTCTTCATTCCTGAAAAATAAAATAAAAAATGGTCTGTGTTAGGTTTGTAGAGTCTAAAAATGATCATGACTTATAAATAAATGGAAACTCACTCATCAGTAATGCACAAATCAGGAACGAATTCGCGTAAAACGTTTTCAATATCTTTTGTTGTCACAAGCGGACCATCAATGATATATCTGCCATTGGCAGAAGGAGTCTCGAGTGCCTTGACATGAGCTAGAGCAAGATCTCTCACGTCCACGAGTCTATAATATCTCCTATTACAAGTGTTCTTACCGTTTATAAAATCCGCAATCACATCTACTGAGAAATTAAGAGTTGGCTGTAGGATTGGTCCAACAACAAGGCATGGATTCATTACAATCAAGTCGATGTTGTTGGCCTTGGCAAACCGCCATGCTGCATCTTCGGCCAAAGTCTTCGAGAGTGCGTACCATTGCTGGATAGGAAAAATAAAAATAAAGGTCATATTACATGTAGTAAACGAGTTCTCATTATCTTATATTGATGTGTCAAAACAAAATAATATATAAATACAAGTACCTTTTCCTCCTCACAAACGCTTGGATCAGAGAAGGTGGTTTCGTCTACGAAATCGTTTGGTTTTAAGGGGGACTTAGGAAACATAACTGTGGCCATGGACGATGTTATGATGACCCTCTTGACAGTGGACACTTTAGTGCATGTTTTAAGGATGTTAAGTGTGCCCATGACGGCTGGTTTGATCAGCTCAGCCTGCAAAATCCAGAGCAAGTGTTTAAATTCATGGACTTGTAACTCAAAACAATTGATTAATTATGAATATATGAACTCATGTCATTTGTGTATTATTGTACTGTAGGTCTTTCCTGTTTTTTTGGATTGAGAATCCTAACAGTGAATGAGAATGAAACTGGTGATATTGTTGGCGAACCTGAGGATCAGCGGCAGTTAGTGTAACCGGTGAAGCGGTGTGGAAGACGGCATCACATCCATCAATTGCATGCTCGAAAGAACCTTCTTCTAAAAGATTTGCTTTGAATAATTTTAGTCTCTCTTTTGCGCCGTCAAGTGCAAGAAGATGACCTGTTTTCTTTTGATCCTCTGGAGAGCAGTATATATACATGAAAGTGCACTTCAAGATAGCATGATAGCACATATCGATAATCTTGCCAACTTTAAACAGCAGTTACACTCCACATATTGACATATATCATGTGTGCTCAATTCAGTTGTCGTCTATTGAAATTAGCCTCTTCCCATTTTACATATAAAAAGTTATAAACAGAGTTGGGAGTGAATAAATTTGTATTTAGCTTTGGGTCCGGTTTAGTCTTTAATAAAATGTATTTGACCTATCTTATGATTTTATCTATAAAATATCTAAGGAGAAATTAAACGGAAGAAGGAAAAGAGAGGAAGAGGGAACAAACCTGGATCTCGAACAGTGCCCTTGACGGTGTAGCCACGGAGGAGCAAAAGCTTCACAATCCAAGACGCTATGTAACCGGAAGCGCCGGTGACACAGACCACATTTCCTCCACCGTTCATCTCTCTTCACTTTATCTGGTTGGCTTTGGTTAATGAGTAACAACAACTTCCCATCTTTATATATTGCCAGTCAGTATTTTAGACGCAAGTCTCACGTACAGTTCAAGAGATGAGACTGGAATTTGGAAGTCTACGTGTCACAACATGTATGGTTAAGATTTTTCCAATTGTATGGTGACAAATGACAATACAGGTCCACGTGGTCTTCCACTAAAAAAAAACATAATTCTAAATTGTTAATAGTTTAGTAGATAAAGGTAGATAACAATGACAATTTTTTTTAACTCTCTGCCCAAGTCAATGGAAGAGTCACCTAGTAACTCTTGAAAAGCATAGATAGCTTAATATGGTATTAACAAAACAAAGTACGAAAAATATTAAAGAAGATCAAACAAGACATTTCTCCTTGAGACTCAAAACAGTGTCTCTAAGGCTTGTTTCTGTAGGAGTGAACTCAATTCCCAAATTCTTCACTTTCTCTACACTCACATTGTAAGTCATAGAAATAATATCAATGTCTTCATTCCTGAAAAGAATTATTTAAAAAGATTGTGTTAGGTTTGTAGAGTCAAAATATGATTATGAATTATAAACAAATGAAGACTCACTCTTCAGCAATGCACAAATCAGGAAAGAATTCGCGTAAAACTTTTTCAATGTCGTTTGTTGTCACAATTGGAGCATCAATGATATATCTGCCATTGGCTGAAGGAGTCTCGAGTGCTTTCACATGAGCTAGAGCAACATCTCTCACGTCGACGAGTCTATGGTATCTTCTATTAAACAAGTTCTTACCGTTTATAAAATCTACAATCACATCTACTGAGAAATTAAGAGTTGGTTGTAGGATTGGTCCAATAACAAGTCCTGGATTCATTACGATCAAGTCAATGTTGTTCGCTTTGGCAAACTGCCATGCTGCATCTTCAGCCAAAGTCTTCGAGAGTATGTACCATTGCTGGATAGGAAAAATAAAAAAGGGTAAGAAATAAACGTGTTCTCATTAACTTATTGATGTGTCAAAACATAATAATAGATAAATACCTTTTCCTCCTCGCAAACACTTGGATCAGAGAAGGTTGTTTCATCTACAAAGTCGTTTGGTTTTATAGGAGACTTAGGAAACAGAATTGTGGCCATAGACGATGTTATGATGACCCTCTTGACAGTGGACACTTTGGTGCATGTTTTTAGAATGTTAATTGTGCCCATGACGGCTGGTTTTATAAGCTCAGCCTGAAAAATCCAGAGTAATTGTTTAAATTCATTTTCTAACTCAAAACCAATTGACTATAATGGAGTAAATCATTTAGGTTTAAAAAAAGATTTTATTGATCCGAACAAGGTGGTATTGTTTACAAACCTGAGGATCAGCGACAGTGAGTGAAACCGGTGAAGCGGGGTGGATTACGGCATCACATCCATCAATTGCCTGCTCGAAAGAACCTTCATCTAAAAGATTTGCTTTGAATAATTTTAGTCTTTCCTTTGCGCCGTCAAGTGCAAGAAGATGACCTGTTTTCTTTTGATCCTCTGGAAAAAGAAAATGTATCTATCAAAGTGCATTTCAAGATAGCATGAATGTTTATATCTATGAAATACTTTGGGAAAAGTAGACTATAGTTACACTCCACATACATCATATATGTTCATTTCAGTTGTCGGTTGTTGAAATTAGCAATTTAGCATCACCAACCCTATATAATATAAAACGGTGTATAAAACAAAAAAACGTAGAGAAACGAAATGTGACACCCACCAGGCCACCACCAACCCTATATAATATAAAACAAAACACCATAATACTTTTCTGGATTCGGTTTGATTTGAAAGACGTTTGCTTTCGATTTGATTTCACGTTTTTTCTTTCCCAATTCTTAACCATGCCTGCAAATTTTTTCTCATGGGTTTTGCAATTAGATTAATTAGTTTAGCTTGTCACTTTTATCTATAAAATATGTAATTAAGGAGAAATTAAACGGAAGAAGGAAAAGAGAGGAAGAGGGAACAAACCTGGATCTCGAACAGTGCCCTTGACGGTGTAGCCACGGAGGAGCAAAAGCTTCACAATCCAAGACGCTATGTAACCGGAAGCTCCGGTGACACAGACCACCTTTCCTCCACCGTTCATCTCTCTTCACTTTATCCGGTAGGCTTTAGTTTTAAAATGCGAAACAACAACTTTCCATATTTATATATTGTTTCACATACAGTATTTTAGACGCAAGTCTCACGTAGAGTTCAAAGAGATGAGACTGGAATTTAAAAGTCTACATGTATGGTATGGTTCTGATTTTTCCAAGTGTACAGTGACAATACGTACAGGTCCACGTCGCCTTTCAAATTCTTATCGATATAGTATAATTAAAACCGACAAAAACAAAAACTATTACAATCCAATCCTTATCCAACATGTACAGTATGTGGTTTTAATTTTTTCCTAAGAATGAAAACAAATGTTCGTTAGAGAAAGTGTGTAATTCTAATTACTAGAAATTTGATGCTTTGCGCAAAATTAAAGCTATATAAAACCTATTTTCTTATTAATTTTATTGAAATATAAGTATTTATGTTTAAGTTTAAGATATCATTACCCAATCCTTATCCACTATTATTTAACTACATACTAGTAATATTTTGTCATATATATATATATATATATATATATATAAATAAGTGAAAAAAAATATAGACATAAATATCATATTTGCAAATAGATTTCATGAAAATATCATGTATTATTGTTCTTCTTTCAATCTCTTAACAATCAGTTAATCTCTATTTGTTTCTTCTTTTTTTTTTTATCTTTTTTACCTTCTTTATCCATAGTTTTATTTATTTACCTTCATTTTATACTCATTTTACATATTCTCTATATTATAAATTATAATCATAACCATATCATTAAATTATGGAACGGTTTTATGTCATATTTGAATGGTTCCGGAGGTTTGGTTTTATCTAAATGTTGCACAAGATAGACATAAATCGTTATCTTGGGCATGTTGTTTCTAAAAAGAAATAGTAAACTTAGCCCAAGCCCAATGGAAGAACAACCATCAAAAAATTCATTAATCTGAATTAAATTTGGATTTGAGCTAAATTTACTGTCCTTACATTGTTGAGTTTCTCACATACACGAAAAAGTTCATAATAATTTACAGGCCTCTTCCGTTTAGTATAAATGACTAAAAACATGCATCATCGTGATATCCAAACGGAAAATGTTATATATTTTCACGCTTGAATCCATTTGGGTTGAAATAGGGACAAGTTTTAGAACCATTTAGATAATCCAGTGAGTGGATAACTCAACGGTTACACTCTTTTTACGGATGGAAAAGTTCGAATCACCTTTTAGTTATAAAAAAAAAAAAGTAGTAACACTAATATTTTTTTTTTCCTCTATATTAAAAGGTGATAATTGATATAGATTTTTCACATGTAACTAATTTTCCTAAAATGAGTGTAGCTGTCTAACAGTCTAATTACCGAGTTTCTAATAAGGTATATAGCATAACATAATTTCGACTGGTCAAATAAAAATAGTTAAGATAATTGCATGTTCAAGATAAATTGATCATTAACATTCGATTTCTAATAGGGATCTTTGTTTACAAATATAGCATATTTATTTTGATATTTTTCTGATAAGATGTTTATTTAACCTTGGCTGATTTGATGGTATATATAAAAGGATCGTAATAATAAAATTATGCGTAATGTGAACTGGGATCCAAATAAAATAATTATTAAAATAGCAGCGGAATCATCGGCATGGACAACAAGACAGAAAAAATAAGAGGTTGTATATCCAAACTTAGAAATCCTAATGGAAACATTTACTCTGGTGACATATGTTAGGTGGATGGGGTTTGGAAGGAGACAAAAAGTCGAACTAATTTAGATAATATACTTTTAACACAAATACCTATGACAAGCTCATGGGAGCGGCTAACCTGAGACGGGGAATATCGCCACTCTAGACGGAGTTGGAAACTCTCATATGGACTATAAAGTGTATGATAAGGCAGAAAAAAAACTAAATATGATGTTTGAGATGGATTGTTCTAATGTGGTGAAGAAAGTGTCTAAATCAGAGGAGTGGCCGGTATTCTCAATTCTACTTGAAGAGGTTAAGAGATGTAAGATGAGGTTCACCTCTTTTTCTATCTCACACATATTTAGGACGAAAAACACGAAGATAGACAAACTAACACTTGAGATCTATATATTGATGTGTACTATGTAAACTCTGTTTCACCATTTTGGATTTCATTACTATTTTAAAAATAGAAGTTGTTGATAAAAAGAAAATAATAATAATAATAATTTTGCTTGTATTAAGGTTTTAGTTTTTAAAACCGCCTATAATACATATATAAAATCAACAAGATATTGCATGCGTATAAAATAAAATATAAATATTTGACTTTTACAATATATTGTAAACACATAAAATGTATTGTAAACGTGTGCTATAGCATCGGCTATATATAAATAAACAATAATGTTAGCTAATGCAAAAATTTTGACATGTGAACGTTTACAATAACGATAGGCCAATGAGCTATGAGGTAAAAATCCGTATGGAGTAAAAGTAAGATAAAATTTCGCAAAGAAGAATATATGAAAGAATTTTAGCAGGAAAAATTAGACAAGTGTCCTGAACGTGTCAATCGACAAACGAGAAGGCACATAATCGATACCAGATTCGACGTACCACATTAATCAATATCAAATCTTTATTTCGTTTTAATTTTCTCTGGCAGTTACACTCTTCTTCACTACTCCAAAAACTTTATCTTTTTGTAAATAAAATAAATATCAATCTCATGCATGCATATATAAAGACATACATCACACCATTGTTAACTCCGCCTCATCTTTTATTTTAAAAGAATCTCCTTAAGCTCCAGTTTCCACTGACACAAGACTGCTCGTCTCCTACACTATCCTCCTCTCTTCTTCTTCTTCTTATATCATTGCTGTTTACAGGTAACTAAAATTATGTTTGTTTGATTATATTACTTTTTAGCAATTTGTGACCTAATGCAATTAGGCTCAAGATGTCCTTACCAATTACGCAATAGTTTCATTTTTTTTTTTTGAACATTTAAAATCTCATATTGATATATGAATGCATGTTCACATTTCAAGGTTTACTAGGCCTTACAACGATGTCGGTTTTTGAATCGGAGACTTCGAACTTCCACGTTTTCAACGCTGAACTCCAAACGCAATTGCAAACGTATGTGCAAGAAATCGCAGCCGAGGAGAACAACGCACCAGTAGGCAGACAAAACTCCATCTTGTCACTGACTCTTGACGAGATTCAGATGAAAAGCGGTAAGAGCTTTGGAGCAATGAACATGGACGAGTTCCTCGCAAACCTGTGGACGACCGTCGAGGAAAACGACAACGGAGGATCCGGGGCCCACCACGACGGAGAGAAACCGATCGTACTGCCACGTCAAGGGTCGTTGGCAGTCCCTGTACCGCTGTGCAAGAAAACTGTGGACGAGGTTTGGTTCGAGATACAAAACGGCGTACATCAACAACCGCCGTCGTCAGCTTCCCGTCAAAACTCCGAAGAAGATATTCGCCGGCAACAAACTCTCGGTGAGATCACGCTAGAAGATTTTCTTGTTAAGGCTGGAGTTGTTCAAGAACCGTTGAAGGCGACGATGAGGATGGCGAGTTCTGATTTCGGTTATAACCCCGAGTATGGAGTCGGTTTGCATTGTCAAAACCAAAACAATTATGCTGATAACCGGTCGGTTTACAATGAAAACAGAGCGTATTACCCGGTTTTGGGGGAATCCTCAAGCTGTATGACCGGGAATGGGAGGAGTAATCAGTTTACCGGTTTAGATGGTTTCCGGATCAAGAAACGGGTAATTGACGGTCCACCGGAAATCTTGATGGAGCGGAGACAGCGACGGATGATTAAAAACCGTGAATCTGCGGCTCGGTCAAGAGCCCGGAGACAAGTAAGTCTGTATTATGTAGAAAAATCCTTTTTAAAAAACCATGCCTAAAAATTTTGTTTAGTTGTGAAGTTCTTAGAAACTGATTACATTAATAATTTATCTGAAGTTTTGGAATGTGACTAACTAATGTGGTTTAATTTACTCTTGTAGGCGTATACTGTGGAATTGGAGTTAGAACTGAACCAACTCACGGAAGAAAACATGAAGCTGAAGAAAATTGTGGTACTTTTCTTGATTAATCATTATTAGAAGAGTGATATAACTACATATGTTAGCTGAATTCTTATATGAGAAAAATCTATATTACACTAACCATTTTAAATTTCTACTTTTTCTGTTTGTAGGAGGAAAACGAGAAGAAAAGAAGGCAAGAGGTAACAATATAATTTTCATTTATGTTCTAAGAAACAATTTTTCAAATAAATTTAGATAAATTTTCATATGTAAACGGCCATCGAACGAGTAGGATTCATCAAAATCCGTCACTCTTTTCTTTTTTCTTTTTTTTAATAACGTGAACGGTGAATCAATCTATTGGATATATTCAAAGTTGACTTTGTTGGAGATCCTATCATTTTCAGTTCAAACGACTAAACGAGCGTTATATCGTTACGTAACAGACTAATAAATCTATCGTTATGTGAATCTATCCTTCTGTCGTTATATAGTAAAATATCGTTATGCAACAGACTAATAAATTGGTTTTGAAAAGCACTGATAATATTAAATTAATGAAATGGTATGCAGGTGATGAATCGCAGCACAGAAGTTGCTAAGGAGAAGAACGGAGACAAATTAAGGAGGATCCGTAGGATGGCTAGTGCCGGGTGGTAGATAAGAGTTTGTGTAATTACATATATATATATTTATAGATCGCTTCCATCAATATATATACACATATTTATATCCATATCTTATTCTGAGACAAACGTGGAATTTGTATATAAGATCATCTTCTTGTTTGTCAACAAATATATTAATTAAAGTGGTCCAGAAATCTAAATCAGTGGTACATAATGCGAAAACTATCATTTTGAGCTGGAACTGCATTGTAATCTGATAATGTCATCATTTCAAAGGTTAGAAATGATTAGAAAACAATACTCTAGTTAAGTACTTAATTTGTTATACATACCAAACACATTCTTTGCTAGGTTTATTATGTTTAGATTCTCGGGATGTAGATTTGGTTCTATATGACTTTTAGAGCTCAAAGTTCAGTTTAAGTTCCATCTTAAGTTAAACAATAACGAACTTGCTTCAACAGTACGAATTAAGAGGATCTTCAAATTGGGTAACTAAAAAGGAAAAAAAAAATATCCAGCAAGACAATTAGGTGCACGAATATACACCGGCTGTGTTGCTCGGATCTTCTCGTTCGTCTTGAAGTTTGAAATAAATAGGACTAACATACACATAAAACATATGAAATTACTTCCAATTCAAATAATTTCAAAATTATAGTTAATATAAATTTCTGATGACTATTACCTAGTATATCCTATAAAGCGTAAGTTTTACGATTTGTAAAGCCTTAAACAAATCACAAATGCATGATACACCAAGGTAGTATTAAAAGATCGACACAAAAACTAAAGATGTAGAGATTCAGAAAATTGTACAAACCTTTTGATTTAATGTATATATATGATTAAAAGAAACTTGGAATAGGGACGAATATATTTTTTTAAAGAATAATATTAATATGTTGTCGTCACATTTAATTATGAAATTGTCCTCTTACATAAACTTCCTCTTAATATACTAAAGCCAAAAGGAAATTGTACAGTATCATCACAACATGGAGAGGACAGTGGCGAGCAAGTTGCAGATTGCAATATCTTGTTATGTGGCTGCAAATGAAGTTGACGCCACGGGAGAGAGACGAAGGACCTTTTGATTTTGATGCTTTATATTAACGTGGGACCCAAGCAACACATAAAATTATAAACATTAGATGTTGTTTTTTTTTAAATAAAAAGAAGAGGAATTATAAACATAGGCGGTTATTTTGATAATCGATTACTTGATGATAATAGTATGGTTATTTCAACAAAATTTTCATGATATAAAAGAGGTTCTCTGAAAAAATTACTTTGATCCAGTTTTAGAATTATACAGACCCATTTAACTTTGATCTGTTTTAGAATCAAACAGCAGATAAACAAGAAAGTAGGAAAGGTTAGCTTCCATGTATGGAGAATGTTTCATATGTTCTGAATCTTTACAGTTTTAAAAAAAACTTCGATTAATGGAAAAAAAAGTGTGCCTTTTAAGGCGTGTGAGTTGTGACAAAATTGATTCTTCCTGCTACGTTGTTTTCTTCCCAAAGTGGAAATAACGAAAGATCTGAAACGAAGACATCCAAAAAAATATCTAGGGTGTCGCAAAACCACACAGATCACTTAAATATACATTTTCCCGGTCAATTCACATCTCTCTTAGAATTGTATTTCTCTTGTATAAGACTTTCATGATGCTCCGTTCTTCTTCTTTTCTTGTATTGTTTTTTTTTTTTTTTTTTAATACGATTTATTGTTCTATTGCAAATTATGAGAATGATTATATGACAATTCCACGACTGAAGATCTCTTGTAAAGATATCTCTATTAATCTGCATAAATGAGAATAAATTGTATTTTCTGGGATTCAAACTCTATACCTCTTGATATAGAGGCATTAATTAACCCTTAAACCACTAGACTAAGAGGCTTTTACATGCATTGGATTGTTTCTGTTCTGTTTTATGCTGTAATAAGTTGCTTTAAAAAACTGTAAAACTTTTAAAATGGTATAAATCTTAACATTAAATACCAAAAAACTGAAAAGTAGCCTAGATAATATAAATTCATAACTAAAATGCTAAAAGAACTTTAAGTTTATAAAACTTATGAATAACTTACTTACTTATACATCATCTTAGGTTTGGATTTGAATAGATAATTTAATTTAAAGTGATTTTTGAGTTTTAATATTTAAAAAGAAAAGATAATTGGGCTATTAATAGTTGTGAACAATCCAAAATAAGTAATTTTATAATCATTTTATTTGTTAGATGGTTTTTTAGTATTTGGTATGAACTATAGCCATTTTATTTACCAAATGGCTAGTCATAGATAGTTTTGTGGTTGTGAATCACTCTAAAAATAAGTGATTTTGTAAATGTTTTATATACCAAATGGTCGGTTGTAAATGGTCTGAAAGTTGTAAATTATTCTCGAAATAAGTGATTTTGTAATTTTTTTAAATACCAAATGGCTGGTCGTAATGGTCTCATAGTTAAAAATTATTCTTGAAATAAGTGATTTTGTAACCGTTCAATTCACCAAATGGTTGGTTGTAAATGGTCTCATAGTTGTGAATGTTGTGAACTATTCTCCAAATAAGTGATTTTATAACCATCTTATATACCAAATGGCCGGTTGTAAATGATCTCATAATTGTGAATTATTCTCAAAATAAGTATTTTTGTAACCGTTTTAAATACCAAATGGCCGGTCGTAAATGGTCTCATAGTTGTGAATTATTCTTGAAATAAGTGATTTTGTAACTGTTTAATTCACCAATTGGTTGATCGTAAATGGTCTCATAGTTGTGAACTATTCTCGAAATAAGTGATTTTATTACCATCTTATATACCAAATGGCCGGTCATAAATGGTCTCATAATTGTGAATTATTCTCGAAATAAGTGATTTTGTAACCGTTTAGTCTACCAAATGGTTGGTCGTAAATGGTCTCATAGTTGTGTCGAAATAAGTGATTTTGTAACCGTCTAATTTGCCAAATGGCTAGTCGTGGATGATCTCATAGTTTGTAGTTTTGAACCATTCTTGTAACCGTCTAATTTGCCAAGTGGCTAATCGTAGATGATCTCGTAATTTGTAGTTTTGAACCATCCTCGAAATAAGAGATTTTATAACCGTTTTATTTTACCAATATAATTAAATCTTTTTTCATTTATAAATATATATCTGTTTAATTTATTAAGTAAAAGTTAACATCTAAAGGAAGTTATACCCTTTAGTTATCTTCTTATACTTTTATAACATTTATTAACCTGTATGAAAACAAACACCTTATGAAATATGAACCAAAGAAGAAGAAAAGAAAGAAAAAAAACACATAACATGAGACGTAGAAACGTCAACGACCATAGAATAGTAATAAGAGTATTATTATATGTGATCACAAAAGTAGACAGCGCCACCACAAATCTCTGTCACGCTCTCTCCTTCCTTTTCAACCTTGTATATTCTTTTTGATTTTCTTTATTTCTCCGTAAATCTCTTCTTATATCAACACACATCGAACCCAAGAAAAAAATCTCTATTGCAAAAAAGATCAAAGAACATTGTAAAATGAAGAACACCCATTTGCCTGACGAACCCAAAGAATCAATCTCTCCGAGATCCTCTCCCCGGAAACAAAACAAGGATGACAGCAAGATATGTTTACCAGAGAGCAGTACGAGTCACCGGAATATTCAAGAGCAGCCGGAGACGTCGACGGTGTTGTCTGGACGTGAGAGACTGAAGAGACACAGAGAAGAAGTTGCCGGAAATGTTCCCATACCGGAGAGTTGGGGCAAAGAAGGATTGCTTATGGGATGGATGGATTTCTCTACCTTCGACGCTGCTTTCACTTCTAGCCAGATTGTCTCTGCTCGAGCTGCGTTAATGGCTGATGCCAGTGACGATGTCGGAGCTAGAGGAAGTCGGTCTCAACGGCTCCGTGTTGAGAGCTCTTGTTGATTTTTATTTCCTTAGAGAAATATTTTATGCAAATAATACTCGTCGTGATGTTGAATGTTGTTAGATACTTATCTTTCATTAAATTTTCTAAAGAGACTAGGATACTATAATTAAAATGCGAAAGTAAGTTAAACAGATGAAAGCGTTAATTGATAATTTGAGATGACACAACGATTTAAGGTATATATCTGTCGGTTCACTTTAAGTTACCCCTAAACATCGGCTGCAAAAACAATTGAGTAGATGTTTAAGAAAGATTATTATTCCTAACGCATTGTTAGACCCAAGTATGTCTTCTAAAACTCAAATTCTCTCATGTTTTCAAGTTTATGAAATTCTTGAATTCTTATAGATCAAGCTAGTTCTTGCCAGGCTAAGGGGAATTCGCTTATTTTGACCTTGTTTATCTTGTTAACAACATTGATGAGTTTTAAGCATGACCTAACCTTGAATCAAATTTCGACATAAAGAAATTTATGTGTTTTTGATTAAATATGAATTTGGCTGAATCAAAACTTACTTATATACGTGTATTGACATTGGTTCATCATATATAAGTAAGATTTGTATGAATTTTAGCTTGCTAAAACATCAAATTCAAATTATTGGATTTGTTAAGAACTTAAGATGTCGGACGAAAATTGCAAATATTTTGAAAAAAAATAGTTTTAACCTTCATTAACATTGCTCAAAAACACGTCTTGCTGTGTTCAAGATTTCATTAGAAAACGGAGACAAGCTAGAATTGAATTTCTATACAAGTCTAATTCTACAAGATCATGATCTTACAAATGTACTTCTCTTTAATCAAGATTGTCTTCTCTTGCGGACGCCTCCGATCCGTGCTCCTCACACCAGCGACAATGTCTTTTCAAGAAAACATCTCTTACCGCAGCAACCACACAAACTCCTCTCTTTTTTTTTTTGTTTTTTTTGTTTTTTTGGTCAAACTCTTAATTTCATTAAACTAAGTTTGGGTATTACAAACACAAGAGGGAATTATACATCCTCCACTACCACACAACATAAGAAGATTAAATCATAAGATAGATAAGGCTGAAAACTCTGTTAAGCGACAACGAATCACAGTAGCTACCCGGCGGCCAACTCGGAAGTAATAGTCACTTGAAGTTGTGACGTTATGAGATTGCCCCTACCTCCGAATTTCATCAAAACAAAGTTCGTTGTATCTTTAGGTTTCATGGAAACCACTAGACAAGATAACAAAATGGTAAAGGGATTGAAATTTTTTCTAGGTTTTGAAACTACAAAAAATTCTCCTCTTCTAGAGAGGGAAGGTGGTGGTAAGATTCTCTCCTCAAAGGAGGAGGATGGTGAAAGTGATCTCTCCTATAAGGAGGAAAGTCTCTCTGTAATTACAGAGGAAGTTTCACAACAAGATGCGTCGAAGGATCTTTCGATTAATATAGATCTGTAGAATTGTTAGAAGAAACCGGTAGATAGTTCAATGGTGCAGTCCACAAAGGAAGGCTCATATCAAAAATTTTATAGCCCAGGCTAATGATGAAATTAATAATGAGATTTCTCCCGAGGAACGCCATGTCGAACACGAGCAAAGGATCGTCACATTGACGGTTATGTTCGGAGGAGACGGCATGGATGGAAGCTTATTCTTCTGAGTCATCGCCAGAGATGAAAATCTTGCCGGCGGATCTAGGATTGAACCAAAGGGTGGGGAAACGAAGGGACAATAGCCGGTTAACAAAACATGTACGTCAGAGAGATGATTGGAAATTAAATCTGACCACCTAAAAAATAAAAAATGTGCTAGAAACCAAATCCATTATATTTTTGTTATATATTTGTCCGGCTCTAGTCTTTTTTAGTTATGTTTCCAAAATCTACGAAATTGGTTAGTGTTGGATTTAAGTAACCAAATTGCGTTTCTTTCAAAATGTCATGTATGAAGCCAAAAGCAAGCATGACATGCTTTAACTAATTCTAATTTGTGTAAACATCTTATAACTTAACACGGTGAACAGTTCGCCCTAATAGAACTCTCCCAGGCACTAATACCAAGACAGCCGCCGGCCTCCTCTTCCAGCTCCGATTTCGGGATGGTTCTTCTTCACCGAAGATCCCCTGCCTGAAATCGGAAGCAGTACCCTCTCTTTCCCGGTTTCTCCTTTGAAGTCCGATGTCTTTGTGTCGCTTTCCGCCGTTGAATCCTTCAACCGCGAGATCTACTTCATCCATCTCTTCTCTTGACCATGCTTTATCTTCTCTGGTGGCTATGCCGTGGGGGTTCGTGGAGCTTCTGAGGACAAACCTCTCGAATCTCTCCTTCACTTCACCAAAGCGGACAAAGCGGTGGTCGAGTTTCTCTCTCTCTCCGCCGATGACTCCTTTTCCGGCGAGACCTTTTCCACCTCATCTACTGAAGCCTCCGCCAGATCCGTTTCTCCGCCTTTCACTCTCCCTCTCCGGTGGTCTCTCGACGGATTCCATGGCGCCTCAGAGGACAAGGTGTCCGGATCTGTCAATCACACTACCAGAGCTGTCGGGGCTAGAGTGTGAGGCGCTCTTCTCTTTCCGGATCCTCCAGATCCGCCTGACGTTGGTGGAGCTATGTCCCTCACTGTCACCACACGGCTCTCTCCACCGCTATCTCTTCATCTCGCTCATCTTCGCCGTCCATTAGATCTCCTCTGGCTTCACTCTTCCCCAATCAGATCTCGGCTTCCATTTTCGCCAGCCTTTCCTCCCCATCTTTTCCAGGTTTGCTCCTCCCTCCCGGCAAATGCGTTTCTGATTCTGATTCGTTTTGAGATTGTCGGTGAACGGATAACTTTGGTTTTGGAATTTCCTGATACGCTACCCACACTACTGATTGACTCGGACCTTACCGCCTTTGTGCGGATCATTATTGTTACTGTTATATGCAGTTTCTTCCCAAATCTCATTTTAGTGATGAATGTTCTGAAGTCTATTTTATCAGATTTGTGGCAATTTGGTGTGATCTTTCTTGATATGTTTAATCTCTTTGAGATATTGGTTGAGCTCTCCTTTATGGAGATTGTCTCCCCCCAAAAATTTCTGCTTGCTTTGAGTGGTATTTTTTCAGGGTGTTGGAGTTCGAAGTTGTCAAACACTTCGTGTTTTGTAGGCTTAGTAACTTGGTGCTTTGTCACTATGGAGTTCACTGCAGTTATCAGGATTGTTAAACTTGCACTAGATGGGTTTTTAATCTCGGGGATAGGATTACTAGATGTATCCTACAATTCCCATGGCACCATTTCGCTTCTTCATACTAATGTCGTGGACTTCCTCTTCGGTCTTAGTGGTTCAATTGTTTGGTTAGCCCTTATCCTTGTTGTTGTTGTTGTTTCTATTCCCACTTTGTTAAGTGTGGTGATTTTAGCTAATTTGGCTTTGTTGTACTTTGTTTGGAATACTTTCTTCTTTGATGGAGAGTAAGCCTGAATGAAATTAGATGTTGACCAAAAAAAAAAAAAAACACGGTGAACAACTGAACATGTTGAAAACAAAAATTGTGACTTTTTCAAATATTTAAGATACTTATAAACACCACTAACACAAAAACAAAAACATAAACATCTTATACAATTTACGAGAATGACCAAAACACCCATACAAGCTTTACAACAACATGTACAAAACCAAAGGTCAATTCGGTACTTTTCAAAACTTCTGTCTTTAGCTCTTGCTCGTTCTCACAAGACCCTTCTTCGCACACTGGTCGGCAAATCGAAATTGAAGAACTATTTCTGAGAACACAAAGGGCAAAAAGACCGTAACTTTCCAATGGAATCCATTGGCATAAAGGTAAAATGGAGCTGGAGCTCAGCCGCAATCGGAGCAGCAACAGCCGCAGCAGCAACTTCTCTCCTCAGCGCCAAGCCAAAAGATCCAACTTTCCACCTCATCTCCATAGACCTAACCTCACTGAAACTAAACCTCCCTGTCCTCGACGCAGAGTTAATGCTGACCGTACACGTCACCAACCCCAACATCGCAGCCATCCATTACTCCTCCACAACCATGTCGATCCTCTACGAAGGCACGGTCCTTGGAACGGCGGATGTCGCAGCCGGTTCGCAGCCTGCGAGATCCTGCCAGCTTCTGAAGTTCCCGGCGCGTCTGGACGGGATGGAGCTTGCGCAACACGCGCGGCGGTTCTTCGCTGACGTGGCGAAGAGGGAGATGAAACTTGAGGCTAAGCTTGATATCGAAGGAGCGGCTAAGGTTTTGTGGTGGGACCATAGTTTCAAGGTGCATGTTGATAGCTTCGTGACCGTTGATCCCGTGTTTCTTGATATTATGGGTCAAGAGAATAAATCTCAGATGGATTTGTTTCTTGCTTGAGCTAATGTTGTATGGATTCGTTTCTTGCTTAAGCAAATGATAATTCGTAGTTTAATCCAATATTTATCTTTAGTTTATCAAACTATTTAGTTTTTGATATAAACCCTTAATCTTCTAAATCGTTACACAAAACCCAAAATTAACTTTTCTCGTATCAAAGAAGTGCTCGTACAATCATCGTCACTGTAAAATGGCATTTCGTAGGGTTTTACTCTCTCACCTCCGACGACCACCACGCCCAGCTTGTTCCTCTCTCTCTCCTCCCCATGTCGCCTCCTCCCCGTCACGGCCGTCGACTGCGATCGCTCTTTTCCAATCCCGATTGTTTTCCACTCCCACAGACCTCGACTCTGAACTGAGTCGACTCAGAGACGATTCAATATCTGGCCTCGGTGGTCATGGATTAGATTTCGCCGATTTGGGGCAGGATTTGATCGGAGCTGGTGCGGCGAACCATGATTTACTAACCCGGCATGTGATCTCGTTGCTTGATTCATACCATGACCTCACTGGATTGCCCTGGTAAATACAAAGATAATTCCTTGAAAAGTTATGCTTTTAATCTCCCAATTTGTGCCTGAGGATTGGCTTTTGAATCGTTCTCTAAAAAGTTTCTTCTTTCACCTCCTAATCGCCAAAAAAGTTGTCTTCTTTTGTGAGTTCATAGTTTTTGTTAATTTGCCTCAGATGAATTGCCAGGTGGGTCGTTATTGTTTCGTCTACAGTAGCTTTCAGAACAGCTCTGCTTCCTCTACTGATTTTGCAGCGGAAGCAAACAAAAACCATTTCACAATTCTTACCTCAGTGTGAGCATTTCCTTTCTCACCTTTCCTCTCTTATTCAGTTTCTGAAAATCTTTTGATAGTGTTAAGATGCTAATAGTATGATACTTTTTTTTTTGTTAATCTCCAGTACCGCCATTTTGGCCTCCGAAAGGTTCAGGAAGGAGTGTTGTTGAACATTTTATGCTGTTCCGGAGAGAAAGAAAAGCTCTCGGATGCCCTTCGTTTTTGTGGATTCCTGCTTATTTCTCCATCCAGGTGAGATGCTTATTATATATAAGTGTTTAAATTGTTACAGGCCCTTTTGACGCTTACAATTGTGAATCATGAGACCGTATTTAGATGGCTAGTTTTGTGTTATTACTTATTGGTGTAAATATGTCTTAGACGCATAACTTGAAATATTATTCTTTGTGTGGAAAGAGTTTATAGCTTACCCCACAATCCACATTCGTCTTCCTGCAGATTTCATGTTTTTTCATGTGGATTACTAGCATTAGAAGAATGTCACTTGATCATCATCCTGGATTTGATACGGTAAGTCGTCATTTAATCAACGTTTTGGAAAATGTGTTTTCCTTTTAATCGAATCATTTGTTTCACTGCCTGCAGGGTGGAGCTTTATGGTTCCAGAATTTGACTGAAATTCCCAACGGTCTTTATGGTCCACTTTTCCCCTTTTTAATAGCTGGTTTGCATTACACAAATACACAGGTATACACTGTTGTTTCTTTTATTTGATCACAAAAACTCAAGTTAACAGTTATGCTATATGTCATCAGCTGGAGTAGTTTCTGGTGAACTATACTTCCTGGCATTTTATGGTTTCCAGCTTGTTTGAAATATATATACGTTATCTTGCAGGTAGCTTTTTCAGCATCTTCAGTTCACAAAGTTGACAAATTTGCGGAATTAGCGAAAGTGAGTTCTTCTACTTGGTTATTCAGTTTTACAATACTTGGACATATACATTTTGTTGAACTGCCAGATAAAGTAACTGTCCTGGCTTCAAAGAAAATACCAAATTCTACTGAAAAAAGAAAGATCAAGTGTTTGTTATGCATGTTAATTACCAATTAATGATGGGTGTTTCTGTTTTCTTCTGCAGACTTTCAAGATATTTTTGAACTTAATGACATTTGCTCTTTATTTCCTTGCATTCCAAATGCCTCAGGTAAATTTATCTCTTATCATGTACCCCCTTCTAAAGTTCACATATTCTTGTTTTCGGGTACGTTAGTTTATAAGACTGCCAACTATGGGTATGATCTATCTTTGTGTCCAGATAGTCTTTTCCACTGACGTGACTATATTTTGATACTGTTTCAATTTAAGCTCCTTCAACTAAGTTTTTAAAAAAAAAGCAAAAGTCCGATTTACTTGACTGTCTTGATGACCTCAAAAGTATGTTTAAAGAAGACCATCTTCTTTTTCCACAGTCTGTGTAGTTCCGTTATTAACCTTGTGTCTGTGTCAGTTTTGTCTAAGAACTTGACTCTCTTGATAGCTCTCAGTTGCCTACTAACAGCCATTTTCACTCCATTCTTTCTGTTGGGAATACTGTATTTTTCACTGCTACCTGTTCAAAATTTGTATTTCTTCTCATTTTGTTTCACAATTACTTCTTAGGGAAGTCTGGTTTACTGGTCTACCAACTTGTCATTCAGCATAGCTCAGGTTTGTTCTACTGATTATCAATCTAAGATCTACTTACTCTGTTTTGCTTTTGATATTGTCAAATTATAATATTTTTGATGGTGATGTATTGGGACAAGATTTCTTAGGACCAATAAATAAAGAAAGGAGCTCTGTACTTTTTTAGTCTCGAATTCAGGCAAAACTTGAGATCTTGGTTAAAGTCGTTAAGATGACGAACTTTGTGATAACTGGGAAGAACAAAAAATTACTGAGGCTCTGAGTCAATGAGGATTGATACTTTAGGATCCAAGTCTTATCTTAGACGTTGGCCCTAAGTTACTGATAGAGTGTAGCAATTAGTTAAAAGGTTTATCTATTCTGTTTATGGGAGTTACTCCATAAGCTTAGTATGGGTAGATTGAATCGAAGTTTACTTTAGATGAACTCCTCAGCCCTTGAGTTCAGCTCTTCTGAGCAATGGAATCTGATTTTCTTGCTTACTTTTTACTGTTCATATCTCTGTTCACAACAACTCTGCCTTCCCTTTTCACATCAAAATATGTAAGTACCCTTCTGGTTCTCTCATATATTGTGCATTGGCGTTGTAGCAAGCAATCCTCAAACATCCCCTCGTAAGTTCTAAGTTGGGCCTACAAGGAAATGACACTGTCCAGAAAGAGGCTGGAAATCCTATATTAGCGAATATAAATGAAGCGAAACTCACTGATCCATCCGTGAAAGGGCGTTTGATCTCAGGGCATAAGTTAACCCCTAAGGAGTTGGTTGGTGTAAGTCAATGTCATTGATATGAATGCTCTCACAAAAATCTTTGATACTATTGTTAACAGCTTTTCTTAACAGCTTTCTGCCAAATACTTATCCGGAGGGCACAAGGAAAAATCAATTCCGCTATTAAGGTAACTATGTAGCTACGATTTCTTCTCATCAGGGAAAGCATTTCCTCGGCACCTGTCCTTTTCATTGTGGTGGCTGTTCTTGTGAAACTTTGTTGTGTTTTTTTTGTTTTTCTTCTTCAGATTGGCATTAGAAAAGGATCCTGAGTATCTTCAAGCTATGGTTATTCTTGGTCAGGCTTTATATCAGAAGGAAGAGTTCGCCGAAGCTGCCAAATACTTAGAGCAGGCTGCTTCAAAGGTATGATATTGATGTTCTTTGATGTTATTTCATTTGACTCAACCCTATTCATCGGAAGTAATTCTGTGATCCTCGCAGCTTATTGATCAAATGGACAAATTTGGGAACCGGAAGAGGTAAGGAGTCCGAAATGTACCTCTGTGACTCCACATTGTGGAAACTCACTTGTAGTGTATAAGATGAACTAGATGGACCCATATTTACCCAAACATGGATTAATAGGTTCTACACATGACTATGAGGACAAACATGAGTGAAACGGTCTCAATCCAAGGGAGGAACATCAAATGGACCTAATTTGGGAACCGGAAGAGGTAAGGAGTCCGAAATGTACCTCTGTGACTCCACATTGTGGAAACTCACTTGTAGTGTATAAGATGAACTAGATGGACCCATACTTACCCAAACATGGATTAATAGGTTCTACACATGACTATGAGGACAAACATGAGTGAAACGGTCTCAATCCAAGGGAGGAACATCAAATGGACCTAATTTGGGAACCGGAAGAGGTAAGGAGTCCGAAATGTACCTCTGTGACTCCACATTGTGGAAACTCACTTGTAGTGTATAAGATGAACTAGATGGACCCATACTTACCCAAACATGGATTAATAGGTTCTACACATGACTATGAGGACAAACATGAGTGAAACGGTCTCAATCCAAGGGAGGAACATCAAATGGACCAAATTTGGGAACCGGAAGAGGTAAGGAGTCCGAAATGTACCTCTGTGACTCCACATTGTGGAAACTCACTTGTAGTGTATAAGATGAACTAGATGGACCCATACTTACCCAAACATGGATTAATAGGTTCTACACATGACTATGAGGACAAACATGAGTGAAACGGTCTCAATCCAAGGGAGGAACATCAAATGGACCTAATTTGGGAACCGGAAGAGGTAAGGAGTCCGAAATGTACCTCTGTGACTCCACATTGTGGAAACTCACTTGTAGTGTATAAGATGAACTAGATGGACCCATACTTACCCAAACATGGATTAATAGGTTCTACACATGACTATGAGGACAAACATGAGTGAAACGGTCTCAATCCAAGGGAGGAACATCAAATGGACCTAATTTGGGAACCGGAAGAGGTAAGGAGTCCGAAATGTACCTCTGTGACTCCACATTGTGGAAACTCACTTGTAGTGTATAAGATGAACTAGATGGACCCATACTTACCCAAACATGGATTAATAGGTTCTACACATGACTATGAGGACAAACATGAGTGAAACGGTCTCAATCCAAGGGAGGAACATCAAATGGACCTAATTTGGGAACCGGAAGAGGTAAGGAGTCCGAAATGTACCTCTGTGACTCCACATTGTGGAAACTCACTTGTAGTGTATAAGATGAACTAGATGGACCCATACTTACCCAAACATGGATTAATAGGTTCTACACATGACTATGAGGACAAACATGAGTGAAACGGTCTCAATCCAAGGGAGGAACATCAAATGGACCTAATTTGGGAACCGGAAGAGGTAAGGAGTCCGAAATGTACCTCTGTGACTCCACATTGTGGAAACTCACTTGTAGTGTATAAGATGAACTAGATGGACCCATACTTACCCAAACATGGATTAATAGGTTCTACACATGACTATGAGGACAAACATGAGTGAAACGGTCTCAATCCAAGGGAGGAACATCAAATGGACCAAATTTGGGAACCGGAAGAGGTAAGGAGTCCGAAATGTACCTCTGTGACTCCACATTGTGGAAACTCACTTGTAGTGTATAAGATGAACTAGATGGACCCATACTTACCCAAACATGGATTAATAGGTTCTACACATGACTATGAGGACAAACATGAGTGAAACGGTCTCAATCCAAGGGAGGAACATCAAATGGACCTAATTTGGGAACCGGAAGAGGTAAGGAGTCCGAAATGTACCTCTGTGACTCCACATTGTGGAAACTCACTTGTAGTGTATAAGATGAACTAGATGGACCCATACTTACCCAAACATGGATTAATAGGTTCTACACATGACTATGAGGACAAACATGAGTGAAACGGTCTCAATCCAAGGGAGGAACATCAAATGGACCAAATTTGGGAACCGGAAGAGGTAAGGAGTCCGAAATGTACCTCTGTGACTCCACATTGTGGAAACTCACTTGTAGTGTATAAGATGAACTAGATGGACCCATACTTACCCAAACATGGATTAATAGGTTCTACACATGACTATGAGGACAAACATGAGTGAAACGGTCTCAATCCAAGGGAGGAACATCAAATGGACCAAATTTGGGAACCGGAAGAGGTAAGGAGTCCGAAATGTACCTCTGTGACTCCACATTGTGGAAACTCACTTGTAGTGTATAAGATGAACTAGATGGACCCATACTTACCCAAACATGGATTAATAGGTTCTACACATGACTATGAGGACAAACATGAGTGAAACGGTCTCAATCCAAGGGAGGAACATCAAATGGACCTAATTTGGGAACCGGAAGAGGTAAGGAGTCCGAAATGTACCTCTGTGACTCCACATTGTGGAAACTCACTTGTAGTGTATAAGATGAACTAGATGGACCCATACTTACCCAAACATGGATTAATAGGTTCTACACATGACTATGAGGACAAACATGAGTGAAACGGTCTCAATCCAAGGGAGGAACATCAAATGGACCAAATTTGGGAACCGGAAGAGGTAAGGAGTCCGAAATGTACCTCTGTGACTCCACATTGTGGAAACTCACTTGTAGTGTATAAGATGAACTAGATGGACCCATACTTACCCAAACATGGATTAATAGGTTCTCCACATGACTATGAGGACAAACATGAGTGAAACGGTCTCAATCCAAGGGAGGAACATCAAATGGACAAATTTGGGAACCGGAAGAGGTAAGGAGTCCGAAATGTACCTCTGTAACTA